CGGTGACGCCGGAACGAGCCCGGCCCGGAAGCAGCGGCTGTGCCACACGCTGAGGCGCAGCCCGACCCGCCGCCCAGAGCCGGTCACGTCCCACCGCGCCCGGCACACGCGGGCGGATGCCGTGAGATGCACAAAGGGCCCGTTTGGGCAGAAGGCCGATCTTCCCCTGCCCAGCTCCTTTCTTGGCTTTTCCCTTGAGAAGTTAATGCGCTTTGCGGGGAAGGGTTGCAGAGTATAATAGGCAATTTTGTAGGAAATTATCCACAAGAAAATTTTATGTCTAAATTTACTTTTACCACATTACTAGTTGTCTTAGTATGCCTTGAGGCATTATTTTTCTGTTTAAGATACATATCTTTCTTTTAAAGCTACGACTTTTTATTACAACTCTTGAAATTCTTCCTGCAATTTTCTGAGTGGGAATGAATGCACGTACGTAAGGAGGGACTGAATGCCATAATGCCTCCTCCCTACATTCCAAATACAAGATTTGCACATTCTTCAACTCTGTTTCTTTGGATTAATGTGGCATTTGCCTTTCTGATTCCCTTATGATCTAGAACCGAGTCATTCAGCAAGAACTCTGTAGAAACGCAGCACAAGGGGAATGTGACATTACTGTACATACGTTGGAGCTGCCATTTATGTATCTGCAGAGGAAAACCACCTTTTTTGGCCTGTCCTCAGTCTTCTGCTAGGTGTGAGATACATAAGGATGGACTGATGTGATACATCCTGGTAAAGTGCATCTTCTTTCAAGTTTTTCCTTCCTTTCTAAACTATTTCAATGCGAGGCATAGACCCATATTTGTAGAATATTTTCAGTGATGAAATAGTTGAACTGAGGAAACATGATTCAGGAGCTGCTCCCAAAGGACTGTGCATTGTTACTATACTGGCCAAGGGAACAGCATCTTCAAGCCCAGTCCGATGTCAAGTCTCTAGCAGGGCAGGTAGAAACTGTGACAGTGGTCTCAGAGGATGCAGAGGCAGCTGCTCTGCTCGTTCTGAATCCTCCTGTGGGCAAAACTAGCAGGTGCCCCAGCATTATCTCACGAGGTTGAGGCTTCTGCCCGGTGGGTAGATTATGGAGAGGAAGGGAGGAGGTGTCTGAGTTAGAAGGCGAGATAGAAAGCATGAAGGAGTCAAGCCAGAATGGGAAAAGCGATGGCATGTTCTCTGTGTTAACTTAGCTTTACAGATGCCTGTGCTGGGCCAGCAGCAGCACGGAAGAGCCCAAGAGGTGTCGGGAAGATGTGTGGCATCGTTTGCCCTCAGGATAAGTCAAGGCTCTTAGTGGCGGCAGTTTAAAGATGGGATTGGTTTTGCATCTTGGAAAAACTGAGGTGTAAACCAGTATTGGGTGTGTAACTGAGTGCTGTGTGTGGGAGATCATGAGTCAAAGAAATAGACTGGCCAAGAGGGTAAGTTCTGCCATCAGTCTCAGCAAAGGTTCATCTTGGAGTTTTAACGAGGAAGGAAAAGCAGATTCATGTAGCTTTATCCAAAGTAGGATGAAGGAAAAATACTCTTGCACATGATGAAGAGGGAGCTCTAATTTTACTCAGAATAAAACATTTCATTTGATTGTTAATTGACTTTTTTCTTTTTTTTTTCCTTTTTTAACTGAAGTTTAAGTGCAAACGTGCATTCCTAGATCACTCATCAACCTGAACATGTAAGGAGGAACAGGTACCTTCCTTATGGAGTCTTCAAGCAAAGTTTGTGTACGATGGTTGAAGAGATACAAAGGGCAATAACTCCCCCCTCCAATAGTACTGCTGGTTTTGTCTGGGTATGAAGGTATGTTATATACATTTAAATAAGCATTGTTCTTATTTATGTTGTCAAAATTGAGAGGTTGACTGAGTGATTAAAAACAAATACCCATACTGTGTGCTGTGTATAATTTCTCATGTTACCCAGAGTGTATCTACCAGATTTCATCCTGCTTGAAAACTGTCCTTAATGACAATGACCGGGGGGCTCAAGTTTCTGCAGTTCACTTCTAGCTGCACTTACTTCAGAAAGCAAATTTAATGCAAAATTGAGCACAGAAAAATAAAGAAGTAGCAGGAGAGTCGCCAACATCCCATGTAGTGTGCTGAAGAGATGCATTTGCCACTCAGGGACTGCGATAATGCATAATTGCTTTAAAGATTACTTTCTTTCTGTGGCTTGATTTGGGAGTTGATGTATTTTCTAATATAAGCAGTCAATAATATTGTCACCACAAAATTTCCCTGAAGAGTCCTCCTTTGTCTTTGCTGCTGACGCTTCCCGTGGCGGCGTTTCTGTCACTGCAGGGGGCACTGGGGGGGACCACCAGCGCGCAGCCCCCGGTTCTCCTGTCCGGGCAGGACTGGGGCTGCTCCCCCGGCCCCTCACCTGCTGCGGCCGGACCCTGCCCCGCTGCGCGCAGGAGCTGTTCTACAGCCTGAGTGCTCCACTGCCTGCATGACCCGCACCTGCAGGGGCCCCGCGGAGTTAGAGGAGATTCCTCGAGTGTTTTACAGGACGGAACCCGACCAAAGGCTGGCTCTGAACACTCCAAACCAGCCTGTGGCCCTCACGGTAGTTACAGAGAGCTCCAGCTCACTGGGAGCACTCCTTGCTCTACAGCGAGTCCTTCTGATTCTGTGAGGAAACAAGCCTCAAACCAAAATGTTAACCCAGTTTTGGGCAGTATCTCGTGATGGTGAGAGGCAGCCAGATACCAGGCACTTCTGGGACGTGACTGGCCGAAACTGTGACTCCTGCTCTAAGGGAGGGAGCTGAGCGCAGCCTCTGCTCGT